GGGAGTGGATTGAAATAACCACAATGGAGAGTAATTCTACAACATGAGAAAAACTTGTAGAAGTGTTTGCATTATTTGATTTAGCTATTCTCTTCTGGAAATCTTTTTAAGGTGGAAAATTATATTGAGTAGATGTCCTTGTTTTTCTAGCCCGTTTATTGTGTAGGACTCACTGGTCCTACCCCAGTGGTTCAGTCACCACAGCTGTTTTAGAACATTGTATCCTTCTCACTACCCCCTCATGTGAGAAGTCTCACTCAGTTCTTCTCTAACCCACTAACTTATTTTCTGTCTCTGTGTATTTGCCTGTTCTGAACACTTTGTATAAATGGAATCATATAATATATAGTCTTTTGTAACTGGCTTGAGTTCACAAACTATTTTTGAGATTCATCCTTTTGGTCATGTTATCAATATGGCATTCTTTTGCATTGCCAAATATTCCATTTTACAGACAATACTTTTTTGTCCATTTATTATGTTATAGACGTTTGGGCTATTTCAGTTTGGGTGCTGTTATGAATAATATAGCTTCAAGCACTCACGTACATATTTGTATGGACATCTCTTTTCATTTCTCTTGACTGTATAGCTAGGAATTGCTGGGTTATGTGGTAGCAGTTTAGCCATTTGAGGAATTGCTAGACTTTTTCCAAGTGGCTATGTCATTTCACATGTTTGCCATTAGCTGTGTACAAGGGTCCCAACTTACATTATGTGATTTTTCTGATTATTGCCACCTTAATAGATATGAAATGGTATATTGATGGTTAATGAGGTCATGGTTACATTGATATGCTTATTTATTTGAAGGTGTTTTTTTTTAACTTACCAGGATGAATTTTAAAAATATTTTATTTTTATTATTTTTATTTTATGTGTATGAGTGTATTGTGCAGTGCCCACAGAGGTCAGAAGAGGGCGTCAGATCTCCTGGAACTAGAGTTAGACAGTTGTTAGCTACCGGGTGGGTGCTGGGAATCGAACCCTGTTCTTCTGTAAAAGCAGTCAGTGCTCTTAATTGCTGAACCTTCTCTCCAGCCCCCAGGATGATTTTAATTAAAGAAAAAAATCACCCAAATCTCTGAGCAATTTTCTAAAATATAGTAAAAACTAGCAAGAGTGTTAGTTGCACACCTTGCTGGAATACACTGAGAACAAAGGCTCTTGGCAAGTTTCCACATCATTTCACAGTGCCCCCTTTTGAGAAGTCCTACTGAAAGGTGGACATTGAGGCACAGAGGTAAAGGGAGGTTTGGTTTTGTAAGGTTTTAAAGTGTGTGTGTGTGTGTGTGTGTGTGTGTGTGTGTGTGTGTGTTGATTTAAGTGCAGATACCTGAGTAGACCAGAAAAGGGTATCAGATCCCTTGAAACTGAAGTTACAGGTGGTTGTAAGCTACCTGATGTGGGTGCCGGGGACTGAACTTGGGTCATCTGTCAGAGCAATATGCATTCTTACCTGTTGAGTGATCTCTCCAGCACCCCTCCGACGCCCCATCCCCCTTTTTTGAGACAGAGTCTCATTGTATAACTCAGGCCTGCTGAGTGCTGAGATGACCATGCACACTGCCATGTCATGTGTTTATTGACTATTGTATGTTGTTTGAAGAAATGTCAATTCATAATTCTTTACCAACTTTTAGTTGGATTGTTTGTGTTTATTTAGTTATGCGTCCTTTATGTATTCTAGATATAAGTAATTTATCAAATACATGGTTTGCAAATATTGTCTTCTGCTTTGTAAACAGCTGTTTTACTTTTTGTGTGTGGGGCTCAAAGACAGGGCCTTGAGCCAGTAAGATTTCTCAGAGGGTAAAAGTGCTTGTTATGCAAGTCTCATGACCTGAGATCAACCCTTGGAACTGACATAAAGGTGAAGAAGAATACTGACTCCACAAAATTGTCCTCTGGACTTTATATGTGTGCTATGGCACATGCCCTCCCTATCCCCAACATTATACAAATACATGCACATACCCAGGCACACTCATTCACACAACAAACACACAATAATAATAATAATAAATTTAATTTTTTTTCTAATTAAAAAAAAAAATCCAGGGCCTCATGCATGAACCACACTCCCACACTCCCAGGTTCACTTTAAGAAGGTACTTGAATTTACAACCCTCTTTCAGCCTCAGCCTCTCAAATAGCTGGAGTCACAGGTGTTTAGCACTGTGGCTGGCTTCCACTCTTTTGACAGCATTTTTGGGAGCACAGCAGATGTTAATTTTAATGACACCCAGTTTACCTGTTTCCTTTTGTTACTGTTTTGCTTTGGATTTCCTAGGAATCTCTTGCCAAATCTGAAGATATACTCTTATGTGTTCCTTTAGAGTTTTATAGATTTAGTTCTTAAAGGTAGCTCTTTAACACAGCATGATAAGTTGGAGTTCCTTTGGGTATCTGGTACATTAAGAACCACAGGCAATGGGTTTATTTCTGGATTCTTGGCCATATTCCATTATCTATCTTTCCTTAGGGCATCATAACTCTGTCTTGATTACGAGGTTTATATAAATTTTGAAATTGAGACATATTAGTTATCCAATATTATTGCGTTTTTTAAAATATAATTTTAACCCTTTGTGTTCTGTTACATTCTGTATGATTTTGCAAACAGCTTGATAATGTCTACAAAGAATACAAATAAGCTAGCTTAGATTCTGATAGTCCTTGTGTTAGTGTTGCCACTATAGCGATGGATATGGAAGTTGTTTCCATCAGTTAGGATCATCTCTAAGTTCTTTCTGCAACAATTTGAATTTCCAGAATACAGAGTTTTTTGTTGCTGTTTGAGAGAAGATCTTCCTGTGTCACCCAGGCTGACTGGGAACTTGGCTCCTCCCCCTCAGCCTCTCTGGTGTTGGGGTTACATGCACAGCCACACCTGGCTCAAAGGACGAATTTTACAATTTGCTAAATTTAAATATTCTTTTCACACACAAAGTTTTTTGGTGATGCTGGAGAATGAACACAGGGCCTTATGTCAATTTTCAAGATATTTTTAAAGGAACTATTTTCTTAATTTCACTTTAAGATTTTTCCTTATAGCTGTTCAGAAGTATAATTTATTTTTGTATTGTTGATTTTTTTAATTTAAAAAAATATTTATTATTTTTATTTTATGTGCATGAGTGTGTTGCCTGCATGTATGTGAGTGCACCCATGTCATGCAGTGCTGTGGAGGTCAGAAGAGGGCATCAGATTCCCCTGGAACTGGAGAAGGAAGGTTCGTAGCCTCCATGTGGGTGCTGGGAATCGAACCTGCTCTCTCCAAGAGCAGTCAGTTCTCTTAACCACTGAGCCATCTCTCCAGCCCCATTGTTGATTTTTTTTTTAAATCCCACCATGTGAATGCTGGGAATCAAACCTGGGTCCTCTGGAAGAGTAGCCAGTGCTCTTGACTGCTGAGTCATCTGTCCAGTCCCATATCCAACAGTCTTGATGAGTTCATTTATTAGCTCCAATTTTTTTTAACAGAGTCCTTACATTTTTTGTATGTACAAGACCATACACTCCTTCCTTTTCAGTCTAGAGGCCTTAATTCCTTTTTCTTACCCAGTTACTATGGCTAAGAACCTCTGGGACAGGACTGAACAGGCTCGAACAGGCTATAAGAACAGGCTTCATTATCTTGTTCTTGAATTTAGCAAAGAGAAAAAATATCCAATAGCCCTTTCAATATTAAGTATAATAGCTGTGGGGTGTTCATCAGTATCCATTATCACATTGAAGAAATTCCTTTCTATGCCTACTCTGTTGGTTTTTTTTTATCACGAAAAGGTATTGGATTTTGTTAAATGATTTGTCTGCAGCTGATGTGGTAATCTATCACTTTTGTCTGTTGGTATATCATAGTACTTGAATTTTATGTTAAGGCAACCTTGCATTCGTTAATACTTGGCTATGGTGTATGTGTATTCGTACATGTTGGTGCACTCACTGTGCTACCGTCTTGTCAAGGATACTTGTATCTCTATTCACAAGCATATTGATCTTATTTTTTTCTTTCCTTGGGATTTTTTTTACTTTGAGATCAGGATGGTTCTGTGTCAGAGTGGAAAGCGGTCCTCATTTTGCTTTGTTTTGTTTTGTTTTGTTTTTTGAAGAGTTTATAAAGATTTGGGGCTTGTTGTTTGTTTGTTTTTAGAGAGGGTCTCCTTGTAGCCCCAGCTAGCCTGGAACTTGCTATATAGACCAGGCAGTAATCCATCTCACAGAGATCTGCCTGCTTCTGCCTCTGTTGGAATTAAAGGAGTGTGCTAACATGCCCAGCTAGATTTGAGTTGTTTGTTTTGGTATTTTTGAGACAGGTTCCCTCTGTAGCCCCAGCTGGCCTGGAACTTGCTATGGAGACCAGGCTGGCCTCGAACTCACAGAGATCCGCCTGCCGCTGCTTCCTGAGTGCTTGGATCAAAGGCGTGCACCATGCCCGGCTCCATTTGGTGTTCTTTAAGTGCTTGAAACAGTTTATGAGGAAAGCCCTCTGAGCCTGAGCCTGGATTGATCTATTTCCCTCCCCTGTGTTTTAGTTACCACTTGCACCTCTTTACCAGCTATATGCTTATGCACAGTTTCTGACTTCATTTGGGTAGTTAATGTTTTCCTTGTGAATGTATTTTGTCATATTATCTAATTTATTAGCATACAGTTATTCCTTTATATCTTTTTATTTCTGTAAGGTTGGTAGTTATATCCCTCTTTTATTTCTGATCGTAGCCATTGTTTTATCATTTAAATGTTTTTGAGAATTTCATACATTAGTTCTATATTCCTTTTTTTCTGGTAAATCAAACTAAAATTTACCAATTTCTTGATATTTTGAAAAAGTGAGCTTTTGATTTTACAGGTGTTTTTCTTCCATTTTTCTGCCACACGTTGGCTCCTCGTGTATCTGTTAGCGATACATTTTAAGATTCGCTTTTCTTAATCAAACTTTAAAGATTTGTCAGGTATTTGGAATTGTTACCTGAGCATTTTATTTGTTTGATCAGATTCTCAAATGTTTAATACTGGAACTGATTTGAAAGACAGTGTCACAAGTGACTCATCATTGCTGCCCAGTGGGAAGCAGGACCTGAAGAAACAGCCCAGTGTCACTCAAGCCACCCAGACCAGCCCAGAGCTTCCTTGGCCTTCTCACACGGCTCACTTTCCTGAGAGCTCAGTTGACTTTACTAGGGAGCAGGTAATGGGAAACCTAATTCAGATTTAGTTCTAGCAATTAATAATTAAATACCAATAGTTAAAACATCATTCACGTATTTAAGTTGGTAAATGTGACCTACTGTCTGGACAGTGTACTAGATGCTGTAGTTACAATGTTGAGCAAGATAAGAAAACACTCTAATTCCTTCCATCTTCCTGCAGTACTATCAATACTTTGGTGATTTTTGTTCTCCCAAGATCTTATTCATTCCTTAAAAATTTTTCAAGTGTATATACTATGTTTTATATAATATGTGTAACAACTGCATTTTCATATTGCATTTGCTTTGTGTTTAATTAATTAATTAATTTATTTATTTATTTATTTATCTTTTTGAGACAGGGTCTCCCTGTAGTCTAAGCTGGCCTGGAACTCACTATGTAGGCCAGGCTGGTCTTGATCTCTGGGATCAAAGGCATGTGCCACCACGCCCAGTCTGCTTAGATATATTATCATTTCTGAACCTTCCTCTTAGCATTTGTTAACATTCAAATTGCTGCTGATTATTTCAGCAGTGTTTTAATTCTTTATAGTAGGATGGCCAAATGAGTTCATTCATCTGTTCAAAGATTTATTGGATAAACTCTGGCTGGGAATATAAAGTTGAGCACTAACCTATCTCTGTAAATACAAAATATGCTTTGTTTTTATCCTGAGGAGTTAAGAAATGCCTCTGAGAGGGCACAATACTTGAACTAAGCCTTAAAGAGCTATTGGCAGTCTAAAGAAAATACCCATTGGGATTCTCAGAATGCAAGTCTGGAAATTAGGAGAGAGGGTTGTGCTAGGTCAGACTGTTATCTGTGATCAGGTTGATCCTAGGAGTAGAAGAGATAGTCAAGAGAGTGACAGGTAGCAAGAGAAAGTGACCAACTGTAAAGTCTAATAGCAGGTGGACATTTAAAGGTTCTTCACAAGGATGGCAAAGGGCACAGGTCGAAAGGGATGTAAAGATGGAAGAGCTGTGGCATAAAAGCTAAAAAGGAGAGAGGCTTAGGAAGGGGGAGGTCAGCAGTGCCTGAAGCCACAGTGAGGTCCAATGGTATTAGAGTGAAACAAGATTGCTGTCAAATTTGGGATACTTTTAAGTGCATAATAGGTATTTTCAAGTAGCCTGTCAGGGCACTCTTCAGCTCAGTGGACCCTCACTAGCACTGGATATTTTGCCGTCTCAGGTGGATACTATATTAAAATGTTACATTTTCTGGAGGTGATTAAAATCTCTTCTTTTCCAAATGTTCATTTCAGCTATTGGAAGAAAATGAATTTCTTAAACAAGAACTGGCTAAAGCTAAAATGGCTGTTGTGGAGGCTCACTTGGAAAAAGATGCACTTCTCCATCAAATAAAGGAGCTGACCCCTAAGTCTCAGGAGCAGCCATGAGAATACCGATTACTACTCTGGAGTAGGAAGGGTATATGTATAATGTGATGTAACCAAGTGGTGGAAGGTTTCCTTTACATGAAAATAAAGTTCAGTGGAATGTGGGGAATGATGACTACTCCAGAGTGGATTAGAAAATGTTGTGTACAAGCTCTGCAATTTTCAGCCTGTATGTGTTTGGGGTTTGACTCTTCTAACTGGTATGGTCTAGTAAAGTTAGCAATGCTGAAAAATAATTACACCCCTAATGAAAAAATGCCATTTCCTAATTTTGATATCTCATTATGAGCATTTAAAAAAAAAAGAATGAAGACCTGTGGTGTTCATGCAGATTGCTAAATTTATTTCTATTTGTTAATATTTTACTGTTATTTTTTAAAAAATCAAATGCAGCTGGGCGTGGTGGCACACACCTTTAATCCCAGCACTCAGGAGGCAGAGGAAGGAGAATCTCTGTGAGTTCAAGGCCAGCCTGGTCTACATAGTGGGTTCCAGCAGGACAGCTGGGGCTACAGGGAGACCCTGTCTCAAAAAAGACCAAAAAAAAAAGAAAAGAAAAAAAGAAAAAATCAAATGCTTTTAGGGCTAAAGAGAGGGAGGCTTACATTTTAAATGTTATTAAAATTATGTACTTAATCTGTAATTATTTAATTGCTGTAAAAAGTCCAATCACATTAATAAATTATATAATTAATGAGTTTACAGCCTGAAAACTCTTGACCCTACTGAACTTATAAAGTAACTTGAAAATGTGAAAAAAAGTCACCTTAAGTGATAAGTAAACTTTGAGTGGATGCTATAATTTTCAATAAAAATATGGTACAAATGTAAAAATAAAAAGCACAACTATTAGAGTATATGGGCAAGTGACTTGAAAAGCACTACTTGTACATTCCTTTAAACATTTATTAAAAGTAAAAGAGAAATTTATCTTGCTATATTTGGAAATATTTGTAACTATAAATTTTTATGAATAGTATTTTGGTATTTCTTTATCTTGCCTCTTTAAGGAGAATGTTTTCAGAGAATTTGCTTTTCACATACATAAAGCAATTTCATACCATTCCTGTAGTGTCCTAGTACATGAGTGTTTTCACATACTTAAAACACAAAGCTAGTTTTGATTAAAATTCTATGTGATATGTGTATGTGTATATGTGCATACATATACATACATATACACACAGTCTTCTATGAGAGTCATTGGTAAATTTTGAATTCTGTTTTCTAGGAATTAAGGCTGAAAACAACGTGATAGAATCCTAATTATGCATTATTTAATAAAAGTATATGAGTATTTTGCCGGGTGTGGTGGCACATGCCTTTAATCCCAGCACTCTGGAGGTAGAGGCAGGTGGATCTCTGTGAGTTCCAGGCCAGCCTGGTCTACATAGTGAGTTCCAGGCCAGCTAGGGCTACAGGGAGACCCTGACACAAAAAGACCAAACAAAAAAGATAGATGGGGCCTTGATACATTGCCTAGGCTGGCCTAGAACTCGAAATCCTCTTGCTTCAGCCTCCAAGAGCTGGGGTTAAGAATTGTTTTCAGAGGGTCTGAAGAGATGGCTCAGCAGTTAAGAGCACTAGCTGCTCTGACAGAGGATCAGTGGTTTCCAGCACCCACATAATGGCTTACAACTGTCTATAACTCTAGTTCTGGGGGGTCTGAAACCCTCTTCTGGCCTCCATGAGCACTGTACAACATGGATGCACCTACATACATACAGGCACAAAAACACCAAAAAAAAAACAAGAAGAAGAAAAAAGTATATGTGTATTTTAAGAAATGGGCTTTTGAAGACAATATATTTCTGATATAATTAAACTAAGTGGTGTCTATTTTAAAATTCACATTCCTAAATATAAATATATCCACGATAGGCCATGAAACAGCTGGACTGTTTTTTATTTAAAATACTTGGAAATTCTGACCTGTGCTGGGACACTTACGGTGCTTTGCTTGTTGGTATGACTGTCAGCCATCCCTGTACCTGAGTGCTTGGGAGAAAACACATATTTTATTTACAGTATATGTTGGAATGATTTCAGTTTTATTGTAACAGTACTCACAGTCCCCGCCCCCATCATCCTTTTAAATTGACATTGCTTAAAAATACAGGGGAAGCTAAGAACATAGCCAAGAACAAATTGAATTGTTAATATTTTACCTCAGAGTACTTAGAAAATGTTAAGCTATGTTAATCTAAAACTGTGTAATAGCCTTAGATTAAATGCAAAGGAATAATTAAGGATTTGAAATGTGTAGCTTACTAACTTTTTATTTCTAGGTATCCATTCAGCAAATGCAGTCTCATAAAGACGGATTGATGAGACGTTAACTTCTGAGCTGACGGTGCTTCTCAGGATTGACCTACAGAAATTTAAAATTTCTCTATGGTATAATATTATACTGTTTACTGTTAATAGAGACTGAATGTCTCCCTTATTCCTTTAAAATGTATTTGGCCTTCCCAAGAAACAATATAAACAACAGAGATGATAATATTCTGAGCATTCTATATGATTTGTCCAATTGTTTTTTTACTTATAAGGGCTACTATTTTATAGAGGTTTAAAATTCAGAAAACATCTCCAAAATACTATCTCATATAATTCCACAGCAGACTGAAAGGTAGATATTATTGGCTTGTTGGAAATTTGAGAGGAAGAGTAAGGCTCGGAAAGATTAAGTTGATTAAAGCCACAATTAATAGCCTGGTTTTAATTTAAAGCAAACATAGTTATATGCTTTTATTTTAGCTTAATTGTTGATTTGCAGATGAATCACTGTGTTATGTATTTTCTTTTTAAAAGGATTATAATATGCTTTTTAAAAGATTCTTATTTTTAATTCTGTATATATATGGGGGGGGGTGTTGTGCACTTGAGTGCATGCCTTGGAGGCCAGAAGATGACTTCAAACTTCCAGGAGCTGCTTATAGGTGACTGTGAGCCACTTGGCTTGGGTACTGGGAACTGAACTTGGGTCCTCTGTAAGAACAGCCAGTGCTCTTAACTGCTAAGTCATCTCTCCAGCCCCCAAGACTGTAATATTTTTAATTGTGTATATTTTTGTGTGTGTGTTTGTGTGTGTGTGTGTGTAAGTACATACATAGGTGCCACTGTATATCTTATACAAACTACTTAAAAGATAATGGGACAATTTTTGTTCCTAAAGAAATTGTGTGTCCTTTAACAAACATCTCCCACAACCCCCACAAGCTTTTTTTAAAAAAATATTTATTTTTATTTTATGTGTATGAGTTTTTTGCCTGCATATATATAAGTGCACCACATCCATGGGTTTGCACAGTTGTTAACTGCCATGTGAGTGCTGGGAACTGAACCCAGGTCCTCTGTAAGAGCAGCCAGTGATCTCAACCTCCAAGCCAATTCTCTAGCCCCCTCCCCTTGCCCACAAGTCTGGGACTCCCAGTCTTGACTCTAAGCAGAATCCCTGCCCCTCTTCTCTTAAGAGATGTAATATTAATCAAGGCCGTTATCCTGCCTAACTCTCACTTCCTGGAATAACCCTTCAATGGCTTTTCATTGCTGTTACAATGAAAAAAACAGTCTTTGACTTCACCTGTTAGGACAATTATCTAGATAGTTGATTCTGAGCATTAAATAAGTTAGTGTCTGAAAAGGTTAAAACTGGTGAGTATAATCACTGAAATACACTTAAAATAGAGCCTGTTTTTTTCTTGTTACCACCTAGCCCCATCTTATACCATGTTTTACTTTGTCCTCTGTCCTCCTTGCCCTTCTTTAGGTGTCTGGAATGAGAACTACGTCTTCATGCATCATGTAAAGATGTCTGTTGATGATGTTTCAGAGGCTCAAAAAATAAGTTCATAGCAAACCAAAACATATATCCTTCCTCATTGCCTAGCTAAGTCCTGTTTGTCTTTCAGACCTCAGCCCGCTCATAATTTCCTAAGGGAAACACCCCGTCCCCCGCCTTTCCAAATAAAAGACTGACCATTACACAGTTTCACATCAGCACAGATCTCTAGTGCTTACTGCTCTTGTAATTTTAGATGCATTTGTTTGATTAGTATCTGATATACTAGATTATAAACCTCACATGGACAGGAAGTTTTGTCATTGTCATTATTAAACTTTGTATTTCTTGTGCCTTATACAGTGCTGGACATAGTAGGTGCCCAGTAAATTTATTGAAGGAATTAAATAAGGAGGTATTTCAGGTATTGGGTTTTTTTCTCAGTTTGACTTAAGGGGACTGGAACACCAGCAGAAAGGTAGTTGGTAGTTACTGAAAGGGTCAAAATTCTTTATGTCCACTGGGCAAAAGGTAAGGTAGTGACTTGGGAATGTTGTCCATACTGTGTTCAGAATTTGGAATATCTGATCTTCTAGTTGATTTGTCACAAGATGGAAAGTAAGAACATCACTTTGTGATACTGCTACAGAGCAGGAATGTCATCTGGCTTTTGTTGTGACATATGGCATGATGCTGTTGAGATCTGCCAATCCCATTTGCTAAACAGAGTGGAAATAAGGCCAGTGAGCTGTGGCTGAAATGGTTTCTCTTTGGGAAAGTGATTGACGCTCAGAATTTCAGTTGTGCCTAATTCCTTAAAGAACAAATAATCTCATTTTAGCTGGCACCTAGAGGTGCTGCGTGTGTGTGTGTGTGTGTGTGTGTGTGTGTGTATACACCTCTGCGTGTGTATATAGGCCCAAGGTTGGTGTTGGGTGTCTCCTTCGATTACTCTCCACCTTATTTTTTTGAGACAAGGTTTCTCAATGATTTGGCTGGACTGGCTGGCCACCAGCCTGTGCCACCACACCCAGCTTTTTGTGTGGTAGGTGGGATCCAAACTCGGGCTCCCAGTGGCAAGCACTTTATCAACTGAGCCATGTCCCCAGCCCAGCACATTAATTTTAATATCATTTCAAATACTAAATTAGTATTTTTAAAAGACTAATTTATTATTATAATATTTGGTACTTTTTTTGTTTCTTCAGGTGGTTTTGAGAGGTCTAGAATTCATAATGGAAAAGCATAAGCTTATGATTTTTATGAACCATGAGATGTAATCTAATAAATTACTGTGGAATGTAGGGAAATCCATGTTAATACTGAATTATTGAAATTAACATATATGTGGTCAGCAATGTTTCAGATTTTGAAACATTTAAAGATTACTGAGACTTATGAAAACAAATTAATGTCTTTTATACCATATATTATGAAATTATGTACAATAAATTTTTAGTCCTAGAAAAAAAAATCACTAAGAAGGCTAATCTGGGGGTTTTATTCTGAAGTCTTTCATTTAAATTTTTTAAAATATACATTTACTGTGTTTGTGTGCATGTACAACATCTGGAAGTCAGAGGACAACTTGTAGGGGTCAGTTGTCTCCTACCATGTGAGTCCTAGAGATTGATATCAGGTCATATGGCTTGATATCAAGCAAACACATTTTTTTAAGTAAAACTTTCCCAGGAATTCCTCATCAGATTTCTTAATTTCACTGTATATAAATGGATCACATTCCTGCCTAAATCTTGATTTCAGATGTGTCACTCAGGACTAGAGTTACTGATCGTGTTTGATTACATGGTCCTTCACAGTACACAGCAGAAACTCTGGAGCCAGCAAGATGGCTCAGTGGGTGAAGATGCTTGCCTCCAAGACTGATGACCTGAGATTGATCTTCCACATGCTGGAAGAAGGGAACAACTCCCACAAGTTGTCACAATTCTGACCTCCACAAGCCCACTGTAGCATGTGCCCCCTCCCCCAATAAATGTAAAACAGCAACAACAGAAACTTAGGCTTTGCCTACCAGAAAGACAGGAAATGAAATAGTCTTCTAATCACCCAAACTGAGTATTCTGCATCATCTTATTGTTAGGAATATAGTGGGAGTGTGGCATTTATTTCTTAACCCAACAGACATGATTCAAAAACCCACATGGATTCAATCTAGTGTAGGAAATAAATGGATAATTTCAATATGCTATGTTAAATGCTGTGATAAGTATATGTAATCTCGTCTTGGGAATTAAGGCTTCTCAGAAGACACCTGAGCTGATGTCTGAACAGTAAGTGCCACCTGTAGGCCAGAAAGTGCAGAGAACAGATGGAGGATGTGCAAGGCTGCGGCTGCTGGTCCAGATACTGTTTCTTTTGGGGTCAACAAAGAGTATGCTTACTTAGTTTTTCAGTTCTTTGTCCTCTGTTATTGATTTGTAACCATTAGGACTTCATTCATGTTCATTTCTGCTGAGTCAGGCCTCTCATATATACGTGTGTGTGTGTGTGTGTACACATGTGTAGTTTTTTTCCCCAGCTTTACTTCCTTTACTTCATTGTGTTTTGACTCAGTATTTATGAGACCAGAGTCAACACATGTTTTTTTTCTACAGAGAGCTGGAATATGTATTTTGTGATCTCTTGCAGCTGTACAACTCTGCCATGGTAGAGTGAAATCAGCTGTAGACAACATGTAAATGTAGCTATGTTCTATCAAACTATGTACAAAAAGAGGTAGTGGGCCATCATCTACCAACCCCTGAGGCAAATCTAGACCACCTGCGTTATTCCAGTTCCAGGGTGACTTATACCCAGAACTAGGAAGCTTGGTTTTCAGGCCATGTCTGCCACTCCTTCACAGAAACAGTGACCAGGGAAAGAGGTGATATGATGTGCACCTGTGACTAAATGATCTTACTAGCCTGAGCTAGCTGCCAAAGCAACCCCCAGACCCCTAAGACCCATTCTTAGTTACTGCTCTTAACTCTACCCAGATTCCCAAGCACATCACTGTGGATAGCCATACAACTTCTTCCTTTGATGATCATTGTCAATGTGAAACAGCTCTCACCTCAAAGGGAATGAGTTTATTCTGGAGCCAAATATGAGTGACCATGGCCCCAAATTCCAATCCACATGATAACATTTTCATGAAGTTGTTATAGTAATAGAATAAAAGAAAGTCATAAATCAAGACACTTCAAATACATTGGTGAGACCATCATGTAGTCAGGTTACAGGGAAACTTGGAAATCTGCTATAGGTCTCAGAGGCTCTCTGATGACATTCCTAGCCGTTGGTTTGGTGGAGACTAGTGGTGTGTTAGTACATTCCAAAATGATTTATGTGAGAGATGTTAGGTCAAGCATGTGAGCAGTGAATGGCCACTAAGGGGACTAAAGATGGCTCAAGATAATTTTCACAGGACCCACAACATTTCAACTCTCCACAATCAGAAGTTCTAATGAGTTCATCAGCCTTGTAAAACTTTTTAACATGTGAGACTTTTCTGGGAACGTCACATTATATAACAGTGGTCAGTGTCTCAACGCTGCTTTGTCCGTTCCAGCCCTTCCTGTATAGAAGCCTAGACTAAGTGTTCTTTCTGGTTATACATATCACCACAGTATTAAAAAAAAAAAGTGAAAAATGGAAGAAGGAAGCTTTTGTTTCTTGACTGCCTTCCTTCCCTCTCCCCTGTTGCAACAGCGTTCTT